CTCCGGTTTTGTTTCTAAGACACGGGAATGAAGACACAGGGATGTTATTCTTGCTCCGGTCTTGTTTCTGTCCCAGAATGCAAGACACATGAATACATATCTGGCTCCGGTCTTGTTTCTGTCCCAGAATGCAAGACACATGAATACAAGTCTGGCTCCGGTCTTGTTTCTGTCCCAGAATGGCAAGACACATGAATACAAGTCTGGCTCCGATCTTGTTTCTGTCTCAGAATACAAGACACATGAATACTAGTCTGGCTCCGGTCTTGTTTCTGTCTCAGAATGCAAGACACTTGAATACCAATCTGCCACCGGTCTTGTTTCTGTCCCAGAATGCAAGACACATGAATTCTAGTCTGGCTCCGGTCTTGTTTCTGTCTCAGAATGCAAGACACAGGAATGTTAAATGGCTCCGGTCATGTTTCTGTATCAGAATGCAAGACACATGAATACTAGTCTGGCTCCGGTCTTGTTTCTGTCTCAGAATGCAAGACACAGGAATGTTAAATGGCTCCGGTCATGTTTCTGTATCAGAATGCAAGACAAATGAATACTAGTCTGGCTCCGGTCTTGTCTCTGTCTTAGAATGCAAGATACAGGAATGGTAATCTGGTTCCGGAGCTAAGTTGTAAACAACTGGCGTCAACTATACTCGTATAAGCTTTACATCGCATTGATAGAAGAGCTGGATAATTCATATGTTATGTAATTTATAGTCGAGTTTTCGTCTGGCATATTTTTGTTGCCCTTGTCTTCATTTTCATGGTTAAATTTCTGCAAAACAATCGAAGATCTTTTTATTATCTGAATCTTTCGGTAACAATAAGTAATAGGTTGCCTACGTTTGGTCTTCATATACAAGTCCACAGGGTTCACTGGTATTGACCTCCCCTTCATAATTATTGGGTAAGTTAAAGTTATGGTTTCGTGACAATATCAGTTACTTAGTTACCAAAATTAATAGAGAAACTGTTTTGAGTATATGAAATCATTAAATGATTCCGATGTGTACATGTTCAACTGATCTTGGCCTTATTTCATTATTCATTGGTCTACATTAAATGTTTGTGATTAGATCATTTTCAATTACTACAAGTAATAGGTGAACTTCCTTTGATACGTATAATCAATCATCAATGTAAGGAGTTTTTTGTTTTATTTCTGTAACGGACACCCTTTCTTATTTGCAAATCACGTTCTAGTAAAGTCAAGAAAAGAAATATAGTCATAAACAACGTAATGTCTAGACGAAAAATACAAAAGCAAAGTCATTAAGTAATCACGTTTTCAAACCGTCTGAAATTACTTTTACTGTTGAAAGTACGTTCAAAGTATCAAGGGTAGTAATGAATATTCATGTTTACTGACCGCCTCGGTGGTCTAGGTAGCGTGTTCGCCTCCTGTGCGGGAGTTCGTGGGTTCGAACCCCGGCCGGGCCAAACCAAAGACTATAACATTGGTATTTGCTACAGTACTTCTTCACTAAGCCAATCTAATTAAAATATAGAACTCGGATTTCGTAATTATGATTTCGTTATAGTGATTTCGTTATACTATAACGAAATCAGAGTTGTATATTTTAATTAGATAGTCGCTAAGCACGCGGCATTAAGGAGTAAGAGAAAAGACTGGTCCGCTCGGAATCAGAATAATGTGTCCGGTTAAGGTGATATGTCTTCCTGCGGACTGTCACCTTGTGAACTAGCACGTTAAAAATCCGGCTCAGCGTGTCGGTCTAGTACAAAGCAGGGTAAATATTCTCATACTGAATATGCATATTAATTTGCCACTGGACGTTAAGCAGCCATCAATCATCATCATCATGTTTACTGGATGATTAACATGATGGATATAAGGCTACTGTTATTGTAAAACATTAACTAATTTCAGTCGTAAGAAATTATAATGCTGGTGAACATGTTTTTAAAAAATACTACGGATTTATTTTTAACAACTTACAATAAAGTTACAATAGACGCTTAATATTTGAAATCTAGTGTTCGATAACTTTGTCTTCATAATCTTTACTTTATACATCTTTGCAAATGCTATGAAAGCATTGTGTGCATATACTCTAAGCCATATAGATGCAGAACATAAATATCCGAAAGATACTTAGTCGATCATAATTTAAAGAAATAATTTAGATTCATGATAAATTATGTTACATCAATCTAATTAAAATATAGATCTCTGATACGAGCACGCGAGTTAAGATAGATCTGAATTTTAATCCGATTGATGATACATGTACATAGATATAAGAAGATGTGGTATGGGTGCCAATGAGACAACTCTCCATCCAAGTCATAATTTGTAAACGTAAACATTATAGGTCAAAGTTCGGCCTTCAACACGGAGCCGTGGCTCACACCGAACAGTAAGCTATAAATGGCCCCAAAAATGACTAGTGTAAAATTATATTCAAACAGGAAAACCAACAGTCTAATCTATATAAAAAACGAGAAACACTTATGAACCACATCAACAAGCGACAACCACTGAACATCAGGTTCCTGACTTAGGACAGTTACAAACAAATGCAGCGGGTTTAAACGTTTTAATAGGCGCCAACCTTCACCCTGCCCGATACAATAGTGTAACATCACAACATAGAAAGACACACTATAAAATATCAATTGAAATGACATGTTCACCTATTTGCAATTAAGCGAAATTGAGAAAAATATAGCAAAAATAGATGAATGCATGTTTAATCGGATGTGATTTTAAATTACATTTCCCAAAAATGGTCCAAAATGTTTTGATTTTTATTACTAGAAAGTGAAAGGATATGAAGTAAATGTACATGGGACAAAATCGCACACAATATATAGAAAACATAGAAAATTATCAATGAACAGGGCTTTTATTCCTGTTCTTCATCTTGACAGTTGATGTAGGGTCTTGGCACATAGAAATATTAATTACGTATTTTGTATTATTTCAAGTGAATGCACCGATTTCGTTTTCTGGCAAGAGCATTCACTTTGTCATAAATTTTAATATTTCGCCTTTTGAAGATACAAAGGCGACAATGCGTAAACGTGAAAAACCAAATTGGTAGCATCCAGCTTCCATTTTGTTCCTCTTGATGGAAAATATGCATTTACGTTTTAAATATGTTTAATTGTTTTAAGATGTATGTTTATGCAAGGATTTCTTACTATACAAATCCTTGGTTTATGTATTATTTAGTTTCATGAGGTTTCCAAGCCTTTGGGCCCAAACATGCGTTGATACTTCGGTAATAACTAAATCAGTGTGTATATAAACACCATATTCAATATGAAGTTAGTATAAGGTGTTGAAACAAAATATAAACACGTTCTTATTTTTGTCTCTCAATAATATACTTACTAATACTATCTTACTTGAAAAAAGCCGAAATACAGAAGATACTAAACTAGAGGGAGAAAAAAATCACAAGTCGAGAAAATCTGATTCAGACAACACCATGATCAAAACCTGAGATCACTATAACACATCTACACTATATATTATAACCTCAGTCAAAAAGTAACATGACAAAACAAAGCAAAACAAAAATGAACAACATAGTCAGAAGATTGCAAAGAAAACGAAGCCATCAAAACTGAACAGGGTGCTTAAGCTTACTCTTGTGCGCCTAGGGCTTAACCCTTATATCTGCGATTCGGATGCAGCAAATTTATAAAGTATTGTCAGTTTCATTTTCTAGCACACGATCGATACCACTTCCTGTTAGACTGCCGCGTAGGTCCCAGTCATCGGGTATCATCGGCTCCGTAGTCAGAGCATCGGCATTGACATGATTTATGACATATCTTACTTAACTCAGTCTACGTTGACAAATTTGACCCGCCCGGCGGAAGCTAGTATCATAAAACTTAGGCTCCAACATCCTCAGGAAAGTTGACCTTATAGTTTTATTTCGCTATTGTCTTTAGGCCATTATAAAAACATATAATGAAATACATTTGTATTTTATGTCTCTGTTTATATTAATTTGACATATAAACAAGAGACACACCTGTGCCTCACAACGGTATCGCTCACCTGGTGAAAAAATCGCCAGTTAGCTAATTAGGACTTTTATATTAATAATTTAGTTGCTCTTTGTGTTGCTGTCTTGCTGATCATTATTGCAATTTACATGCTCCGATAAAACGGAGGAATATACCAGAACAGAACAGAACATGTTTAACCTAGCTCCTATAGGTTTGTAGAACCCAAAGCCAAAACTTCAAAAACAGTTAAAATCAACATTTCAAGGGCAATACCTCAAAAACTTGTTGTAAAAAATATCATAGGTCGTTATGCTGATTTTTTGTTTTAGTTTACTCTTTTAATCTAGCTCATATAGTTCCTTTAAATAATCCTTTAAAGGCAATAACTCCTTTAAAGGATCAATTGACGATTTTGGTAATGTTAACTTAAAGTTTCTCTTTATCTATCATAGTTTCTAAAAAAAAACTTGAAAATTTAATACATTTACAATTTCCGTCAGTTGACTTATTTGTAGACCTTAACTTGCTGAACATTTTTGCTGTTCAAAATTTCTCTTTATAACAGCATTCAACTTGAGATCATAGTAATAACCCGAAAAACAGAGACATTTCGTAAAATTTATAATTTCGGGTTCAATAACCGTCCAAAAAGGGCTGTTCAATTGGTCTGAAAATTTGGTGGAAGATCTTAACATGCATGCTTATTATTTTTACTTTGGTCAGTTTTGCTTTCACTGCTTTAGTTTTTGAGATATAAGCCAAAAACTGCATTTTACCCCTATGTTTTCTAGCCACGACAGTCATATTTCTTGGTGGACAAGAATGAAAAACACAAACTGTATACTACATACCCTAATTAGTGGAGAAGATCTTTGAAAAAGTTTACAACGGACGACGGACGCATAGGAATGGCAAAAACTCTCATGGCCCAGTTTTATGCGTATATGTCTCTGGAACAATTAAGCGGAAAACTTTACCGATATGATTTAATTTTATTCAACCTAAATCTCATCTTCGGGATTTTTCCATACGATCGAAGGAAATACCAGATAGACTTCCCGAAAATGGCAACGAAAATAGAAGATTGGATGTGTGAAGAGCTAGAAAAGCTTGGCATTCCAGCTTCTCATGAAAATGCACAGTAGGTTTAGGGTAAAACATATCAGGTGATAACCAAGGGAATCACGTAACCATATAAGGTTGTGGAGATTATGAAGCCAGAGAAATAATTGCAATATGTTGATGTACAAAATGATGATTGTGCAATAATCAGTAAATCGCTTGGGATTTAATAGCAAATGTATAGATTTTAATATCTGATTATTTGATCTATTTGGCAATACTTGGAGGAAATTTTTTTTAAAACCAGGTGTCCTTCGTTAAATATCTGTACAATACGTCATTTCTGGAATCATAAAATTGAGAATGAAAATGGGGAATGTGTCAAAGAGACAACAACCCGACCATAGAGCAGACAACAGCCGAAGGCCACCAATGGGTCTTCAATGCAGCGAGAAACTCCCGCACCCGGAGGCGTCCTTCAGCTGGCCCCTAAACAAATATGTATACTAGTTCAGTGATAATGGACGTCATACTAAACTCCAAATTATACACAGGAAACTAAAATAAAAAATGATACAAGACTAACAAAGGCCAGAGGCTCCTGACTTGGGACAGACGCAAAAATGTGGCAGGGTTAAACATGTTTTTTGAGATCTCAACCCTCCCCCTATACCTCTATCCAATGTAGAAAAAACAAACGCACAACAGTACGCACAGTAAAACTCAGTATTATAAGAGAAGTCTGAGTCCAATGTCAGAATAGGAAACAAAAGAAAATAAACAAAATAAACAAAATGACAATAATACATAAAATAACAACAGACTACTAGCAGTTACTGACATGCCAGCTCCAGACCTCAATTAAACTGATTGAAAGATTGTGTCTTCATCATATGAATATCAGCCTTATCAGGCACAATCCCTCCTGTTAGGGGTTTAGTATTATACAGTCGTAAATTATATGAGAAGAACATAACCCGTGTCATGCCAACAACTGGTTTTAGAATAAATGTGTTTAATTCCGATGCAAAGACCCTATAAGTGAATCAATATTAATGCCAAAATATGCAATCTCTAATGACCTGACAACAGTATCGTAACTATATCCCTTCTTAATAAGTCTGTTTAAAGGTTTTGTAAGCTTTTGAGGTGAATACTGACATTTTTGTGCTTTGTAAAGAATATTACCATAAAAGATTGGATGTGAAATACCCGAACGTATAAGATGTCTGCATGTTGAGTTATATTTACGAATGATGTCCTTATACCGATGATAAAATTTAGTAAATGTTTTGACTAGTTTATGATATCGAAAACCCTGGTGTATTAATTTTTTAGTAATACAGTAATGTCTTTCACCGTAAAAGATCGTCAATTTCGCATGCCTTTAATGGCTTTATGATAGATAGAAGGCACGCCTGTATCCCTGCTCTATTAAAAGTTTCCAGCACTTTCAAAATCATCATTCTGTAGTATAAAAATAATTTATGTTCTGTAAATACGTAATCTTGATTCCCGTACGAATGAGGGAGGGCGACCATCTTATTAGATTTTAATTTCCCAAATATTTTGTGCAGTATAAAATCAAATTTTTTCATCAGTTTGCTCAATATGTGTTGGAAGTGACGATGCCTACATTTTGGTCACATGGTGATGGAAGTCCCATGACAGATTCAACTAAAAACCATATCCCGGAACTGCTGTATTTCTTGAGTGTACTCTTTCTATTGATGCCTGGGAGCCTTTATAAATATAAGGTTGGGGAGGATCCTCTTAAATGGGTACTATCCTCATTTACAGGTATTATACTCCAAAACGGGTATCAATTTTCAGTGATAAAAATATAATCTTTAGATTTACAGATATTTTCTGTCAAGGCGCAAACATTCGGATAAAGGACAACATTTTTGCCTTAAGACACCAAGACTGAAATATCATTAGGAAAAAAAGTTAACAGTCTTCAAAAAGTAGGAGTTTTAGAGGCCATGTATTCAGTTCTCATTTGATCTATGGTCTTAACGGAAAAAATATTGCCATTTAAATGAATATTTGGGCCATGACAGCTATCATGACAATGCATGATGAATTACACAATTTTATTTTTTATCACTACAAATTGATACCCGATTTTGGGTATAATACCCATAAATGGGGATAGTACCCATTTATGAGGATCTTCCCTAACCTGTTTATCAGTTGAGCCAAGTTATATTAAACAAAGATTTATCCTCAATTATATATAAAAGGTTGGTAGCAGGTACTAAATCACCTAAATCCGTTAAATTATTGTGCTAAAAAATCCTTGGAAGGTTACTAAATGTAAATAATAAGATAGTTAAATTGATTAACAACTTTTTATTTATTAATCCATGTTGGGGTTTGGAGGTCTGAGCTACTTTTTGTAATTTGGCAACTATAGGTTTCTGTACGACCTTCAACAATTAGCACAACCCATACCTTATAATCATGTTACTTTGTATAAAAGTATCAATCAGTACACATCCAACAGTTGGGGCAATATGCCCAATTGATTTTCCATAGGTGGTAATGGTAACGTTTTCTTCTGTAGCTCAGTCCATAACTTAAACTTGGATATGTATGATGGCTCGTTTCGAAGTCAAGGTATTTTCACATATGTGGTTAAATTTTCTGGGTACGCTGTGTGATTCATTTTTTCATAAATTAGCATACCCCGAAAATCCTTTCTTGATACGGCTCTTTGTGGTAAAAAATCCCTTTTTTCACAAAATAAGTTCTTTGAAAATTTAATACTTTGAATTCATTTAATAACTCCATAGTTTTTACACATTTATTCTATGGTCCTCTACTTTCTAAATCAACACAAATGGTTAAGCTCAGTCACTTGTTAAAAATAGAAACATGTCCAATATCACTACACAGAGATTTTTTGTTTATGCACAACTTTTGAGTTCCTCAATTTGAGGCCCATTAGGGATATTGACCCAGTTATGTATATAAGTATCAATCAGTACAGATCCAACAGTTATGTATAAAAGTCAGTGAAAGTATCAATCAGTACACATCCAACAGTCATGTTTAAAAGTATCAAACAGTCAACAGTCATGTTTAAAAGTATCAATCAGTCAACAGTCATGTTTAAAAGTATCAATCAGTTCACATCCAACAGTTAGGTATAAAGTTGGTGAAAGTATCAATCAGTACACATCCAACAGTTATGTATAAAAGTCAGTGAAAGTATCAATCAGTATACATCCAACAGTCATGTATAAAAGTATCAATCAGTACACATCCAACAGTCATGTATAAAAGTATCAATCAGTACACATCCAACAGTCTGTATTATATTTCAGTTGAATTTTTTAATGAAATTCAGAATGTTTTATAATAATATATATATATACATGATATATATATATATCGTTACATTAGATATTTGAAATTTCTGGTTTCTGTAGATGTGAACTATATATGTAATTAGAAGAATTACTTCTGTCGACAGAGGCGGATTGGGGGGAGGGGGTCAGCAGGGGCCCTGGCCCCCCTTATGGAGCTACATATATGATAAACATCAGTCCAAATGTTGGGTTGGCTTACTAGGGCCCCCCCTTTTTTAAATCCTGGATCCGCACCTGGTCAACACACTTACACACCAATTAAAATACACACAAAAAAACCCATTCAATTCTCTAATAATTAGATATATTCCTTTTCTATAATGTGAAATAGCAATTCACCATTTTTGTTGAAGAGTTGCCATTTGGAATCACAATATGAAAATGTTTGAAAGTGTCACAAGCAAAACTTGAAAACAGTAAAATGAAAGGCCAAGAAACTCGTGATTAGTTAGAGTATCTTTTGTAGACTTTTCAGTAGAATAGGTACATGAAATACAAAAAGTTCTCTAAAGACATGAAAGAAAAACAAAAGTCACATATAGATTTGTAGCAAAATTTCCCAGGTAACTTTATAGTTTGTGATTGACAACCTAGGTTACCATTCAGTAATCATTTACATCGGAAGAAACCAGTCGTTCATGTTAATTATGAGTTTTGTATAAATTTATGACATTGAAACTTCTGTTGTAATAATTTACAGATACATTCTGAGTATTGGAAGTGCAGAAGATTTAGAGGAATACATGTTGGAGTTATTAGATGGCAATGATCCACGTGTTCATAAATTTATACATGAATTATTGAAAAAATGGGATCCACCTGAAAAGTTACCTGAAATTATACAGGTACACTTCAAGTTAATAGCAGATTCTTATATTAAATTAACAGATACCTTATCACCAACAAGAAGTCATGGCATATATACAAAATTCTTAAAACTAATTAAGGTACATATTACCAGTATTTTTGAAAGTCCTACCATTGAAGTATTCTTTACAATATTAAATTTCACACAGACCAAAGACATGTAATACAAAATAACAGTTATACCTAAAACAAGAATCAGGGTGTCAACGTCACATAAAATGATAATACATACACTATAAATGTCTAAAGAATCTTGATAAAGATTATGAAATGTGTACACTATTTATTCTCTTAGGTTTACAGAAAACCTGCCTTGGAAGTCGAGGATTGGAATTCAAAGAAAAAACCAGAGAAATCAAACAAGCACACAGACAACCAGAAGAAAGGATTGGTCAATGGAGCTGTCAAATCTAAAAGTGTAAGTACAATGTAAGTTTACCGGCATAAAACACTTCATACACAAATATTTAGTTTTAAAGTGGGTCACTCTGACTTACATTTCATGATTAATATTATGCCTGAGTTTAGGTATCAGATAATTCATGAGCTAGCATCATATGAAATGATGTAAGGATGAGAATAATATCTTCCCAGTTAGAATTAGGTCACATTGATCTACATTTCTGGCTTCATTGACCCTGGGTGAGTTTATCATCTTTAATTTCAAAATATCAATAGGATTGCATTGATCACACAAAAAACATAAAAGTTGCTGGAAGGTCTCTGCACAATATCAGTAACTAGTGTATGACAACATAACAACATAAAAGTTGCTGGACGGTCTCTGCACAATTTCAATAACTAGTGTATGACAACATAACAACATAAAGGTTGCTGGAAGGTCTGCACAATATCAGTAACTAGTGTATGACAACATAACAACATAAAAGTTGCTGGAAGGTCTATGTACAATATCAATAACTAGTGTATGACAACATAACAACATAAAAGTTGCTGGAAGGTCTATGTACAATATCAATAACTAGTGTATGACAACATAACAACATAAAAGTCGCTGGAAGGTCTATGTACAATATCAATAACTAGTGTATGACAACATAACAACATAAAAGTTGCTGGACGGTCTCTGCACAATATCAATAACTAGTGTATGACAACATAACAACATAAAAGTTGCTGGAAGGTCTCTGCACAATATCAATAACTAGTGTATTACAACATAACAACATAAAAGTTGCTGGAAGGTCTATGCACAATATCAATAACTAGTGTATGACAACATAACAACATAAAAGTTGCTGGAAGGTCTCTGCACAATATCAATAACTAGTGTATTACAACATAACAACATAAAAGTTGCTGGAAGGTCTATGTACAATATCAATAACTAGTGTATGACAACATAACAACATAAAAGTTGCTGGAAGGTCTATGTACAATATCAATAACTAGTGTATGACAACATAACAACATAAAAGTCGCTGGAAGGTCTATGTACAATATCAATAACTAGTGTATGACAACATAACAACATAAAAGTTGCTGGACGGTCTCTGCACAATATCAATAACTAGTGTATGACAACATAACAACATAAAAGTTGCTGGAAGGTCTCTGCACAATATCAATAACTAGTGTATGACAACATAACAACATAAAAGTTGCTGGAAGGTCTCTGCACAATATCAATAACTAGTGTATGACAACATAACAACATAAAAGTTGCTGGAAGGTCTCTGCACAATATCAATAACTAGTGTATAACAACATAACAACATAAAAGTTGCTGGAAGGTCTATTTACAATATCAATAAGTAGTGTATGACAACATAACAACATAAAAGTTGCTGGAAGGTCTATGTACAATATCAATAACTAGTGTATGACAACATAACAACATAAAAGTTGCTGGAAGGTCTCTGCACAATATCAATAACTAGTGTATTACAACATAACAACATAAAAGTTGCTGGAAGGTCTATGCACAATATCAATAACTAGTGTATGACAACATAACAACATAAAAGTTGCTGGAAGGTCTCTGCACAATATCAATAACTAGTGTATTACAACATAACAACATAAAAGTTGCTGGAAGGTCTATGCACAATATCAATAACTAGTGTATGACAACATAACAACATAAAGGTTGCTGGAAGGTCTGCACAATATCAATAACTAGTGTATGACAACATAACAACATAAAAGTTGCTGGAAGGTCTATGTACAATATCAATAACTAGTGTTTGACAACATAACAACATAAAAGTCGCTGGAAGGTCTATGCACAATATCAGTAACTAGTGTATTACAACATAACAACATAAAAGTTGCTGGAAGGTCTATGCACAATATCAGTAACTAGTGTATTACAACATAACAACATAAAAGTTGCTGGACGGTCTCTGCACAATTTCAATAACTAGTGTATGACAACATAACAACATAAAAGTTGCTGGAAGGTCTCTGCACAATATCAGTAACTAGTGTATGACAACATAACATAAAAGTTGCTGGAAGGTCTATGTACAATATCAGTAACTAGTGTATAACAACATAACAACATAAAAGTTGCTGGAAGGTCTCTGCACAATATCAATAACTAGTGTATTACAACATAACAACATAAAAGTTGCTGGAAGGTCTATGTACAATATCAGTAACTAGTGTATAACAACATAACAACATAAAAGTCGCTGCAAGGTTTATGTACAATATCAGTAACTAGTGTATTACAACATGTATGTGTAAATGTACAATTATAGAAGGTCTTTTTTAGAATTTCAAGAGAACCCTTGAAAAATGTGAAAACATAAAAAAAGGATAACTGAAATTACCAAAAATACTGGACAATACAACAGACCACATAAACATCCAACACCTCAGAGATAAAAGACATTTAAACAAAGACAAACATCAACAAACAAAATATTGTCCATATAGCCTGACTTGGTACCGACGAAATATTTGCGAGTTTGTGGAAGGGTGTTTAAACCAAATTTACATGCTTACAAAACTCTTCCTATTCTATCTAGACCATACTGTTAAATAAAATAAAAAACCTGCCACGTGCAAAGACCAGATTTTATAAAAGACAATACAAGAACTAAATGGGCTTAGTGTTAGGTGTTCCTTTGCTTATATTTCATTTGCAAAGATTTTATATGGTAACAACCCTTTTTGAAAAAGTCCTAGATCAACAATAAGAAATGTGAGAGATAGATATATATAAAAAAAACTAGTTGGCAGAACTGTGTGTATATTTTATGTCTTGTTAGTACTTGTTATTTTGATCTTCATTGTTCAACTCATTGTTTTCTTTTTATTTTAGGATAGTTTTCCATCTGCCAAGACAAGCTCAGCACAGCTGCCTTCCAACGATCTTAAAAAGAAAAATAAATTTGTGCCGCTTTTTAGTCAGGAAGGACAGGAGAAGACTGTTGTTAAGTTACAAGGTAGAAATAGATTTAATCTTTCATTTATACTTCGAGGATTGTAGTTATCTTATTATACCCTCACTCTAGAAGAGGACCTATATTGCAGTCACTTTGTCAGTCTATCTGTCCATCTGTTTGTCCAACAAATATTTTCGTCACACTTTTATCAGAAACTAATCAACAGAATGACTTCATGTTTGGTTGTCAGTTTGACAGTGATATGTTGTAGTGTGTCAGCATGTTTGGTTGGCAGTTTGACAGTGATATGTTGAAGTTTGTCAGCATGTTTGGTTGGCAGTTTGACAGTGATATGTTGTAGTGTGTCAGCATGTTTGGTTGGCAGTTTGACAGTGATATGTTGTAGTGTGTCAGCATGTTTGGTTGGCAGTTTGACAGTGATATGTTGTAGTGTGTCAGCATGTTTGGTTGGCAGTTTGACAGTGATATGTTGTAGTGTGTCAGCATGTTTGGTTGGCAGTTTGACAGTGATATGTTGTAGTGTGTCAGCATGTTTGGTTGGCAGTTTGACAGTGATATGTTGAAGTGTGTCAGCATGTTTGGTTGGCAGTTTGACAGTGATATGTTGTAGTGTGTCAGCATGTTTGGTTGGCAGTTTGACAGTGATATGTTGTAGTGTGTCAGCATGTTTGGTTGGCAATTTGACAGTGATATGTTTTAGTGTGTCAGCACTTTTTTGATCTGTCAGATACATGTACCTACTACTTTTTGGAGATAATTTTTATACGACCGCAAAATTGGTATGAAGTTTGCGTCTCCGGCGTCGGCATCGTTGTCGTCTGAAGACACATTGGTTTTCGCACTCTAATTTTAGTTTAAGTGAAAGGAACTCTATGAAATTTTACCATAAGGTTCAATACCACAAAAGGAAGGTTGGGATTGATTTTGGGGGTTATGGTACCAACAGTTAAGGAATTAGGGGCCACAAATGGGCCAAAAATAAGCATTTTTGTAACTTCCAGACATAACTTGTGTGTTAGTGTATGGATCTCTCTGACATTGTACCACAAGGTTCCATATCACATAGGGAATGCTGGGATTGATTTTGGGGGTAATTGCCTCAAAATTTTAGGAACTGGGGGCCAAAAAAGGGGCAAAAAACAAGCATTTTTCTTGTTTCATGACAATAACTTGTGTGTAAGTGTATGGATCTTTATGAAATTGTACTACAAGGTTCCATATCACAAAGGGAAAGCTGGAATTGAGTTTGGGGGTAATTGCCCAAAACGTTTTGGAATTAGGGGCCAAAAATAAGTATTTTTCTAGTTTCCAGACAATAACTTGTGTTCAAGTGTATGGATCTCTCTGAAATTGTACTGCAAGGTACCATACCACACAGGGAAGGCTGGGATTGATTTTGAGGGTAATTTCCTCAAAATTTTAGGAATTAGGGGCAAAAAAGGGGCAAAAAAACAAGCATTTTTCTAGTTTCAGGACAATAACTTGTGTGTAAGTGTATGGATCTTTATGAAATTGTACTACAAGGTTCCATATCACAAAGGAAAAGTTGGGTTTGAGTTTGGGGGTAATTGCCCTAAACCTTTAGGAATTTGGGGCCAAAAAACAAGCATTTTTCTAGTTTCCAGACAATAACTTGTGTTCAAGTGTACAGATTTCTCTGAAATTGTACTGCAAGGTACCATACCACACAGGGAAGGCTGGGATTGATTTTGGGGGTAATTGCCTCAAAATTTTAGGAATTAGGGGCAAAAAAAAACAAGCATTTTTCTAGTTTCAGGACAATAACTTGTGTGTAAGTGTATGGATCTTTATGAAATTGTACTACAAGGTTCCATATCACAAAGGGAAAGCTGGGTTTGAGTTTGGGGGTAATTGCCCTAAAGGGCGGATTTTTTTCCCTTTTTTTCTTTAAAATTTTCCATTTTAAATTGGTTATCTCTGATTTATATATAAAAGCAAATAATAATGATATGGTTTGAATAGTTAAATTAAAATTTGTTAAGTTCTTAGACCACATTCATTCTGTGTCAAAAACCTATGCTGTGTCAAATATTTAATCACAATCCAAATTCAGTGCTGTATCAAGCTTGAATGTTGTGTCCATACTTGCCCCAACTGTTCAGGGTTGGACCTCTGCGGTCGTATCAAGCTGCATCCAGCGGAGCATTTTATCAATATGTTGAATGAACTTAAAATATTTTGCTATATATTTCTCCAGTTTGACTGCACAGAATGACTTCATATTTGGTCAGCACCTCAACTGTGATGAGTTGTAATGTATGTGTGGGTCTGTCAGACACCTACTTCCTGTTTTTATATGACCACAAAAAATTTGCGTTTGTATATTTTCTAGTTTTCAGACAATAACTTGTGTTCAAGTGTATGGATGTCTCTTAAATTGTACCACATTTCACAAATCGAAAATTTCTTCGAATATTATTTTTTTTCGAAGAGGGTGGGGGTGGGGGTAAAAAAAAATTTTTTTGGAGGGGGGTAATTTTTTTTCCTCAAGATTTAGGAAATTATTACATGTATTAATTTTCCATTATTTTTTTTGGAAGGGGGTAAAAAAAAAAAAAAAATTTTAGGGGGGGGGGAGGGGAGGGGGGTCAATATTTTTCCCTCAAGATTTAAGAAATTATCAATTTTCCAAAAAAAATTTGGGGGGTCACAATTTATTTTGAAAATTCTGAAAACAGATTTACTTAGTATAGCGCAACAGCACAGTGTATTGCACAACAACAAGAAATCTTCAATTGAATATGAATTCAAATCATATAACCAATTTCAAGTTCTTTGACTTCATTTATTCTGTGTCAGAAACCTATAATGTGTCAAATATTTAATTACAATCCAAATTGAGACCTGTATCAAGCTTGAATATTGTGTCCATTTTTGCCCCAACTGTTCAGGGTTGGACGTCTGTGGTCGTATCTAGCTGTGCTCGGTGAAGCACATTTATTTTTTCGATACTTTGAATTAAGAGAATGGGTATGCTGAGCAAGACAATTAGTGCATTCTTGTTCAAGTTATTAGTAAAAGCAAAGTGTACAAGGTCAACAAGACAGAATCCAATCAGCACAAAAATTACATTACGAGTCAAACATCTTCAACAATAGACTTATATTTATACTTCATACTTGTTCAAAGTTAATTCATGTGAAAAAAGTACAGTTACATTTTCACAATAGCAAAAACATCGTAAAAATATCTGAATTTACATTACTGTATAAGCTGTGTCTATGTGGTAATATTACAAAATTTTATATACAAAAAAAATATAGGAATCTACAATATTGTTTTATGTTTTTATCTATTGCATAGGTCGACATGCATGTGAATGCCAGGCAGCCAAACACAAACTAATAAGTAATTGTACAAGATGTGGTCGGGTTGTTTGTGAACAAGAAGGATCAGGACCATGTTTGTTTTGTGGACATTTAGTAAGTTTATCAGAAGAATGATGTTATCAAATCTGAGTGAAGTTTTTATGATAATGAAATACAACTATGGTCCCTAAATCCAAAGTTATTAAATTGCTGAAAGGTAATTTTTCTGAGGTCCACATACATCGTGTGAGGGTGTGTAAATTGTAAGGATTTTAATTTTATTTAAATTTTCCATAAAAGACAGGATTTTTTATTTAACTTTTCATTATGTTAGTACCGGTATATTTTTAAAGAAAGTGCATATTGTCAGGATTTTGATTTTTTTTTAATTTTTCAATATGACAAATAGTTGAAATAAGTCATTTTTATGACCCTATAACATAAGTCCAGTGGTTTACCTTTGTCATTACACTGTGGAGTAAAATTCATTTATGAAAATGTTTCATCTGATAAATGGAATTTATCATATAAGCCCCACATTTGCCAAGAACAGCGCATTTACCATGTACATTTTCGTTATGCTCCTGCTGCTAGGTGGAGGAGGCATTAAGGTTTACCCTTGTCCTTCTGTATGGTCTGTATGTTCATCCCGAAGTTGGTTTCTGTTTTCTTACTTTATTTTGCCTCAACCAAATGTTATGAAACTTATACACAATGCTTATTACCACCAAACACAGAATTTGAGTGGTTTAATTTTACACAGTTCTTGAGTGGTGTCCTTTTATAAATGGACAAATTGCTGAGTTTGCAGTTTCAACACTCTGCACAATGCTTATTACCACCAAACACAGATCAGCTTTTATTTGAATTCTGGTGGCATCACTTTCGCTGTTCTTGTGTAATGCCCCTTTATAAATGGAAAATTGCCAAATTTGCTGTTTTGCACACTCAAACCCATAAGCAATCTCTAATGACAACATTCAGAAACAAATGTCATTAAGTTTCAAAGAAAATAAAAGTTCAATAGGTTTGAGGTAGTACATTGACTCTAAATTATTTACAAGCGGGGCATCTGTGTCTCATGGACATATTCTTCTTTTATTTTACATGTAATAAAATTCACTTTTTTATGCCCCCGCCGTAGCGGAATGGGCATTAAGTTTTACCCTTTTCTGTCCATCTGTATGCACGTCCGTACATCCATCCGTACGTCCCAAAGTTGGTTTCCGTTCTCTAACTTAAGTTTGCCTCAACCAAATTTTATGAAACTTATACACAATGCTTATTACCACAAAACACAGATCAAGTTTGAATTTTGGTGGCGTCACTTTAACCGTTCTAGAGGTATGCCCCTTTACAAATGGAAAAAATTGCTGAATTTTTCGTTTCTGTTCTCTAACTTTAGTTTGCCTTAACCAATTGTTATGAAACTTATACACAATGCTTACTACCACAATATACAGATCAACTTTGAATTTTGGTGATGTTACTTTTACCGTTCTAGAGTTATGCTCGTTTACCCAAATGGAAAAATCGCTGAATTTTTTGTTTCCATTCTCTAACTTTAGTTAGCCTCAACCAAATGTTATTAAACTTATACACACACAATGCTTATTACCACAAAACACAGATAAAGTTTGAATTTTGGTGGTGTCACTTTTACTGTTCTGGAGTTATACCCCTTTACAAATGGAAAAATTGCTGAATTTTTCGTTTCCGTTCTCTAACTTAAATTTGCCTCAACCAAATGTTATGAAACTTATGCACAATGCTTATTACCACAAAACACAGATAAAGATTGAATTTTGGTGGTGTCACTTTTACCATTCTAGAGTTATGTCCCTTTATAAATGGAAAAATTGCTTAATTTTTCGTTTCCATTCTCTGACTTAAGTTAGTCTTAACCAAATGTAATGAAACTTATACACAATGCTTATTACCACAATTCTCAGATCAAGTACAAATTTGGGTAGCGTCACTTTTACTGTTCTTCAGTTATGTCCCTTTATAACTTTATATGATATGCCAGCGGGGGCATCATCTGTGTCCCATGGACACATTCCCCATTTATTTACCTCCTGTTATGTTTGCAGAGTTATGAAGTTAAAAAGCAACAACAACTACAACAATAAATTGACTTACATTATGGAATAAACCATAAGTATGGCGGGGTGTTATATACTTTAACATCACTGTTTGCTTAATTTAATGTTTGCAGAACTATATTCATTCATATGGTAGTGGTATCATCTTTGTCTATATAAAAAAAGAAGATGTGGTATGATTGCCAATGAGACAACTCTCCACAAGAGACCAAATGACACAGAAATTAACAACTATAGGTCACTGTACAGCCTTCAACAATGAGCAAAGCCCATACCGCACAGTCAGCTATAAAAGGCCCCGAAATGACAATGTAAAACAATTCAAACGAGAAAACTAACAGCCTAATTTATGTACCAAAAATGAACAAAGTTCATCAGTTATGCTTCTTGTCAAGTTGAATTTAACAGAAAATTAAAAAAAAGTAACATTTTTTAGTTTGCTGCCAAGGAAGTAATCTATGAATACTAGGAGATGTGTGGTATTCATCAATAGGATAGCAATTCAACATAATAATAATAACCACAAGACATTTAGAGGGCAATGCACAAAAGACAGGGGTTTATACAAATTGTTAACTTTGCATCTGATTGCAGGTTTGTACAGTGGAAGAACAGGAAGTGCTATCTCGTGGTTCAAAGAAAAGTGAACAGTTACGACATCGGTTAATGAAGGACGCAGATCGAGTGCAATATATCAGGGATAAAAAAGACTTCTTCCCTAGTTCTGGTGCTAAAATTAATGAGGGATATCAGAAAGCTCTTCAGCATAAGGATAAATTATTAGATTATGATAAAACAAGGTAATAGCATGTGCTACAAGAGGGTCTGCATGGAGAGGAAAGCCTTCATTTCTATATTTTTTATGCTTTTTTTCACTATTCTTTATTTTTTTCCCCATTATTCTCTTTTCTTCAAATGGGCATGTTAAATCTGATCCCTCATATTTTTATTACTGCAAAATGACTGGTAAATAATACAAATGTACATCAATGAAAAAAAAACATTTAATTTTCACACTGTCACTTTTTGAAGATTGGATTCAAATTGATTTTTTTATACGACCGCAAAATTTTTGCGGTCGTATATTGGTATGACGTCGGTGTTGGCGTCGTCGTCGTCGTCCGAAGACACATTGGTTTTCGCACTCTAACTTTAGTTTAAGTGAATGGATCTCTTTGAAATTTTACCATAAGGTTCAATACCACAAAAGGAAGGTGGGGATTGATTTTGGGGGTCATGGTACCAACGGTCAAGGAATTAGGGGCCAAAAATAAGCATTTTCTAGTTTCCAGACAATAACTGTGGAACGGTGTATGGATCTCTCTGATCTTTATACTACAAGTTTTCATACCACAAAGGGATGGTTAGGATTTGCTTTGGGGGGTTTTGGCTCAACCGTTTAGGAATTAGGGGCAAAAAAGGGGGAAAAACAAGGTTGTCCTGGTTAATGGACAAATACTTTAGTACAAAACATAATTTAAAGCAGTGTAAGGGAGATAAATCAAATACATCATTGAAATTATCTCCCTTACACTGCTTTTAAATTATGTATAATATAATGGTTAATGAACAATTAAGATAATTTAAAACAGTGTAAGGGAGGTAATCCAAATACAACATTTTGGTTACTTCCCTTACACTGCTTTTAAATTATGTTTAAAGAAATGCAAATTTATAAAGGAAGACCAGTAAAAATATCTGCATATGTTGCATCTTTTTTTTTACAAAAAAAATCCATATGAAAGATTTGACACTATATTTTAAATTCTATTATAAAATAGATTAAGTTAGCACTATGGTAAATTTAAATGTGTAATTATGGTTGCAAACTCCATTGGAAATTTGAATTGAGATTATGACCATATCTTGAGGGAAAGAATTTTTTTGGGGAAAAAGGGGGGGGGGGGGGGTAAAAAGAAATTGTGGGGGGTCAATTTTTTCTCATTTCAGATTTCAGAAATTAAAAAGAATTATTCTTCAAATATTATTTTTTTTTCAAATTTCAAATATTGAAAAATTTCAAGAAGTAATCTTTAATTGCACAGGATGGCGCATTAGATTTGTAAAATCTTTGACCACATTTATTTATTTGTTATGCCGAATCTAACCGTGTATTTAGATTTTTAATTTTGGGTCCAGTTTTCAAATTGGTCTACATTAAGGTCCAAAGGGTCCAAAATTAAACTTTGTTTGATTTTAACAAAAATTGAATATATGGGGTTCTTTGATATGCTGAATCTAACCATGTATTTAGATTTTTGATTTTTGGCCCAGTTTTCAAGTTGGTCCAAATTGGGGTCCAAAATTAAACTTTGTTTGATTTCAACAAAAATTGAATATATGGGGTTCTTTGATATGCTGAATCTAACCATGTATTCAGATTTTTTATTTGTGGACACCGCTATCAAATTGGTTCATATTGAGGTCAAAAGGGTCCAAAATCAAACTTCGTTTGATTTCATCAAAAATTGAATTATTTGGGTTCTTTGATATGCCAAATCTAACCGTGTTTTTAGATTTTTAATTTTGGGTCCCGTTTTTATACGCCCGTTTACAGGACGTATTATGGTATACTGTTGTCCGTCTTACCGTCCGTCCGTCTGTCCGTCCGTCTGTCCGTCCTCAACATGTCAGACATTAACTCAAAAATGCTTTAACCAATTTGCATAAAACTTTGGTGAATTGTTTATATCTATTGACGTGAGCTCCCTTTCGTTTTTTATAAAATTTAGATTTTACGTTTCCGAGTTATGGGGTTTTATTCATTAAAAAAAGAGGGATTTTCCAGTTTTCGGACAATTAGTCAAGAAAGCTTTCACCAACTTGCAAGAAATGGTTGTGAATTGTTTATATCTATTGACATGAGCTCCCTTTCGATTTTTATAAACTTTAGATTTTACGTTTCCGAGTTACAGGGTTTTATTCATAAAAAAGGGGGGGGGGATTTTCCAGTTTTCGGACAAAAACTCAAAAATGCTTTCAGCAATTCTTATGAAACTTTGGTGAATTGTTTGTATGTATTGATGTAAGCTCCTTTTAGAATTTTATAAATTTTACATTTTACATTTCTGAGTTATGGGGTTTAATCATAAAAAAAAGGGGTGATTTTCCAGTTTTCGGACAATAACTCAAAAATTCTGTCACCAATTCTCATGAAACTTTGGTGAATTGTTTATATCTATTGATGTAAGCTCCCTTTTTATTTTCATAAATTTCTAATATGACATTGAGAATTAATTGAACTTTATTTGTTTATAGTCTGACAACAGATTTACTAAGTATTGCACAACAGCAAGAAATCTTTAATTGAATATAAATTCAATTCATATAACCAATTTCAAGTTCTTCGACTACATTTATTCAGAAACCTATAATATGTCAGATATTTAATTACAATCCAAATTCAGACCTGAATCAAGCTTGAATATTGTGTCCATTTTTGCCCCAACTGTTCAGGGTTGGACCTCTGCGGGCGTATCTAGCTGCGCTCAGCGAAGCAGTTTATTTAAATTGGTCTACATTTAGGTCCAAAGGGTCCAAAATTAAACTTAGTATGATTTTAACAAAAGTTGAATTCTTGGGGTTCTTTGATATGCTGAATCTAAACATGTGTTTAGATTTTTGATTATGAGCCCAGTTTTCATGTTGGTCTAAGTTGGGGTCCAAAATTAAACTTTTTCTTATTTCAACAAAAATTGAATATATGGGGTTCTTTGATATGCTGAATCTAACCATGTATTTAGATTTTTTATTTGTGGGCCCCGCTATCAAATTGGTTCATATTGAGGTCAAAAGGGTCCAAAATTAAACTTTGTTTGATTTCATCAAAAATTGAATTATTAGGGTTCTTTGATATTCCAAATCTAACCGTGTATTTAGATTTTTAATTTTGGGTCCCGTTTTTCAAATTGGTCTACATTAAGGTCCAAAGGGTCCAAAATTAAACTTAGTTTGATTTTAACAAAAATTGAATTCTTGGGGTTCTTTGATATGCTGAATCTAAACATGTGTTTAGATTTTTGATTATGGGCCCAGTTTTCAAGTTTGTCCAAGTTGGGGTCCAAAATTAAACTTTGTTTGATTTCAACAAAAATTGAATATATGGGGTTCTTTGATATGCTGAATCTAACCATGTAATTTGATTTTGGACATTGGACCATAATAGGTAAATTAAAAAAAATCAAGTTCTTAGACCACATTCTTTCTGTGTCAGAAACCTATGCTGTGTCAAATATTTAATTACAATCCAAATTCAGAGCTGTATCAAGCTTGAATGTTGTGTCCATACTTGCCCCAACTGTTCAGGGTTCGACCTCTGCGGTCGTATCAAGCTGCGCCCAGCAGAGCATTTTATTTTATTTACGATTTACAGGAATTCTCTTTGCATTTTACAAAACCATTTTAAGGTGTACATGTACAAGAAAGTCCATCCAGGAAACTTGTTAAAAAAAACTGTATTCTGGATAAAACATGTCTGATAAAAGAACTTAATACAACTAAAAGTGTCTATAACCTTTTCATCGCAAAATCTAACATCTTAAAAGATTTTAATCAGTTAAGCTTTGTTTCTGATAATGTTACACTTAAGGCACAAATTCCAACCTCAAATGGTACCACTGCAACAATTTAAACTAGCATATTATTGCAAAAAGGGTGATCAAGGTGATGAACATGACATGGGTGATGAAAATATATGTGATACGAAAAAGGGGTAGGATAGGCACAAAAGGGAAATGAATTTTGAAGATGTTTGTACTTGCTGTTTCTAATTTCTATACACCAATTTACAGGAAATTTCTTTGCATTTGACAAAACCATTTTCAGAAATCCCTACACCTTTATAGACAATATTTCCATGGAAAACTGTGAATTCAGAAATTTTTGCTACGTTTTTATTGTTGTAAAAATTACTGCGCTTAAATTTGGCGTAAAATTTTAAATTTTGATTGTATTATATATATATGCATCATTTCCAGAAACTGTAATACTTAATCTCATATTTTTATCAATACTTTGAAAAACACTCACAATAGTAAATGCACACAGAAATTTCTTAGTATATAATTCAATCAAAAGTTTTATTATCCGGAAACTGAACATGTTCATTGTTCAATATTACAGGCAGGTGTATTATGTTAAAAGTGCTCTTATGAAGATTATTTTTAATCTACATGACATGTTGCCTACCAAGTGCAGTTTTTAATTTGTAAAAAAATTAGACATCAACAAGCAATGACCATGAATGAAATTCATTTTTGGCTACAAACCATGAATGAATAGCTATCATTTAAAATTATATCATGTTGTTAACTTTTGGAACACTGCATGGTTGTATAGTATGGATTTATGATATCTTATTTATTTGAGAAGAACCGTTTGTTTGATGCAAAATGAAAGATTTATTTATTGTGGTCGATTTGTCACATTAGAAAATTCAGTAAAATAGGGGTAAAAATGATTAGGACTTCAAATATATTTATAAATTATTTTTCATTTTCAGTGCAAGAAGAACACAGGTAATAGACGATGAATCTGATTATTTTGCTACGGACAGTAATAGATGGTTAAGTAATAAAGAACGGGAAAAATTACGGAAACGTGAAGAAGAATTACGGTCACAAAGATTTGCTTCAAGAAAAGACAGAAAAATTACATTAGATTTTGCAGGTCGACAAGTGTTAGAAGAAAACAATACAGTTGATATGTATAATGTGAACGATGAGGTAGTTCAGGAAATACACTATGGTGCTAAACATAAAAAACAGGAGTTTGTACACAAAGAGGAAGACTTTGATTCACTTACTGGAATTGTTAATCCAAATATTAAACAGCATGCACCTCAGGTAGATATCATAGAGTAACTTGTCTGGCACCTCAGGTAGATATCATAAAGTAACTTTTGTCTTGCCTGGCACCTCAGGTAGATATCATAGAGTAACTTTTGTCTTGTCTGGCACCTCGGGTAGATATCATAGAGTAACTTTTGTCTTGCCTGGCACCTCAGGTAGATATCAAAGAGTAACTTTTGTCTTGTCTGGCACCTCAGGTAGATATCATAGAGTAACTTTTGTCTTGCCTGGCACCTCAGTTAGATATCATAGAGTCTTGTTTGGCACCTCAGGTAGATATCATAGAGTCTTGTCTGGCACCTCAGGTAGATATCATAGAGTAACTTTTGTCTTGTCTGAGAAGAATGTTGCAGAGTGCCAATACTGGGACCATGTTAGATCTTATTATAAAACTTTATATTTCAGAAGTTAGAATGCCTGGATACTTCACATCTTGTATATAGATGCCTTATGCCCTAAAGTTTCCGTCTTGCCTATTTCTGTTGTCTTTGATCTTATTTCCATGGTTGAGAAACTGCTTAAAATATAGGTTTGTGCATATCTGTCTGGCAGGTTTTGGTTGACCATAAACTCATTTTCGTGGTTCATAAGTCAATATTTAGTTCCTTTCTGAGGTACTGGTACTTAAGCAGAGGGTCAACTGTATATGTATTTAGTGTTTGGCACGATTGAAAGGTGTACATGTCCATCTGACCTGATTCAAGTTTATATGTCTATGTTAAGTTTTCTTGAATAGGTCTCTTTCTCAGATACTATAAGCAGTAGTTAAACTATATGTGGTGTATGGAATGATTGAAAGTTGTAGATGTTTGTCTGGCAGGTTTCATTAGATCTTGAACTCATTTTCATGGACAGTGGTCAGCATTTAGTTTTTTTGGCTTACACCCTTTTCTCAGATACTATAAACAACAAGCTAAGTCAACTACATGAACATTTGGTGTATGGAATAATTGTAAGGTGTATATTGTCTGTCTTGCAGTGTTCATCTGACAAATGACCTCATTCTCATGGCTCATTTTTCAGCATTAAGTTTTTGTGGTTTCACCTGTTTATAATATACTACAAGTAATAGGTTCACTATGTTTGGTGTATGGAATGATTGTAAAATGTACCCTTGTTCAAAAGCATGAAAAAACCATTGGTCATTAATGACATCCCAACCAATGGTTGATGAAGAATAGCAATAAAAGTGCTATCCATTGGATATATGGTTACAATTAAATTACAGCTAAAACATTTTGAGGGTTTTTATTCAGTTATTTAAGTTTGTTTTTAATATCATTGTTAGCATCCTGTTTATAAAGAGACAATTTTCAGTATCAGCCAATCAGGGTGTAATAGTACGTAGCGGAGGGGGCATTAATTAAGTTTTACCCTTGTCCATCCGTACGTTCATCCCAAAGTTGGTTTCCGTTCTCTAACATTAGATTACCTCAACCAAATGTTATGAAACTTATACACAATGCTTATTATCACAAAATACAGATCAAGTTCGAATTTTGGTGGCGTCACTTTAACCATTCTAGAGTTATGCCCCTTTACAAATGGAAAAATTGCTGAATTTTTCGTTTCCATTCCCTAACTTAAGTTTGCCTCTACCAAATGCTATGAAACTTATACACAATGCTTATTACCACAAAATACAGATCAATTTTGAATTTTGGGAGTGTCACTTTTATTGTTCTAGAGTTATGCCCCTTTACAAATGGAAAAATTGCTAAATTTTTTGTTTCCGCTCTCTAACTTTAGTTTGCCTCAACCAAATGCTATGAAATTTAAACACAATGCTTATTTACAAAATACAGTTGAAGTTTGAATTTTGGTGGTGTTACTTTAACCATTCTTGAGTTATGCCCCTTTACAAATGGAAAAATTGCTGAATTTTTTGTTTCCGTTCTCTAACTATAGTTAGCCTCAACCAAATGTTATTAAACTTATACACACACAATGCTTATTACCACAAAACACAGATCAATTTTAAATTTTGGGTTTCACTTTTATTGTTCTAGAGTTATGCCCCTTTACAAATGGAAAAATTGCTGAATTTTTCGTTTCCATTCTCTCACTGAAGTTAGTCTTAACCAAATGTTATGAAACTTATACATGTACACAATGCTTATTACCACAAAACTCAGATCAAGTACAAATTTGGGTAGCATCACTTTTACAGTTCTTGAGTTATGTCCCTTTATAATGTTATATGTAAGTGAGGGGCTTCATCTGTGTCCTATGGACACATTCCCCATTTATTATTTTATACCTGGACCTGCAGGATATTAACAGAACATTGAAATACAAACGTACTACCTTTTTAGTTTTATTGATTGTAGTCACTACATGTATAACTTCAAAATTTTAAATCAAAATTTAGTTTTGTTCATAATGTTTGGTAATTTCTTCAATGAACAAAATGACGGTAGTAAATTCATGTGGAATATAATACAGTACTACTAAATAAACTTGTTCAGTGTAAGTCCTAGTAATAGTTATATCAAGAGTTTTATATGATATTAAAGGTTTTGCCTTGAATATTTATGTTGTAAAAATGTATTAATAAAATACCTTATAAATATTTCATGTTTACTTAGTTTGTAGATGAAAAGGTAAGTGGAAAAAATTCTCCAGCAAATGTAGTGGGACCAGAAAAAAAGAAACCAGTAAGAATACAAGACAGAGAGTTGTTACAGATGTCAGATGAAGGTCATTGTCTTAGCATGCATCAACCATGGGCATTATTGTTGGTCAAAGGTATTAAAATGTAAGTATGCACCAACCATGGGAAAGTCAAAGGTTAAAAATATAAATATACATCAGCCATGGGCATTAATTACTGTTAGACAAGGGCAAGGATCCTTAAAATTTTCCACACAATAACAGGTTTTTTAAGATGACAGGTTCTTTTTCAAACTATCAAATTCATATTTGATTCAAGGCATCAACAAAGTTGTATTAACAGTTTCACCACATTACTCCATGAAAATTGTTACTGATTTCTAAACACATTCAAGAACAATTTATGGAATGTTATAACAGTTTAAGATTGTAATGATTTTAATGACTTCAAGCTGTAAATTTCTCAGGAACAGACAATGCTACTTTTGGTTTTGATAATCAATATAAAAACTGGAAGTTGAAAGTTAATCATAGATTACAAGATATTCTGGATTCATCTTTGGGGTTCGCTCTGTTTATCAAATGGCAGGAAATCATCATGTTTTTATGTCCATGCCACTTGGCGAAGTGGGTATAAAGTGTTACCCATGTCCATCCCATCCGTCACCTACGTCCTTAAAATTGGTTTCCGGTCTCCAACTTTAGTTTGCCTCAACCAAGAGGAGGAGAGACAGGAGAACACTTTATCAAGATAGACGATAAATTGCATTATTTCATTACGTTTCAGCAAATGCTAATTTAGATTAAAAAATCAATTCGAACACGTGCTTTTACATTGACTTACGCAATCAGCATTCCCCCTTTTAAATGAGTACAAATAAGACGTAACATAATTTCATGCCAAATATCACAGTACAACAATTATCGATATCATTGAATCACTTTACAATTTTAAAAGTAAATACAACTTGATAATCTGAAGAATCTATCGCAAATCCGAATTCATTTTGTAGCTCACAATCAAACTTATACATCCGGTTTATATTCAGAATCGAAAGATGCATGTTGCAGAGTCTATTACTATGAAATTTGCAATTTAAAGTCATTAAAATCATTTTAAGTTGTAAACATTTGCCCTGCAAATCTTTACTCAACGTTTTACAAAACGGGTACAAAACTTGTTGATGCTGCATATCGTCGATACTGGTTCATGACATTTGACAGGGAAAAAAAGATCCCCCGATTTTTAAGTCCTAAACAATTATCAAAATAGCAAGAAAACGACTTAAGGACAGCTTGTGGCCATTCTTTTTTTGGGAGCCATGCAGGCTTGACATTGAAATTGTAACAAATGACAATTAATGAAAATATTTGTTATATTCTGTAATGAAATAAATATAATAAGCAATACATCAGTTTGTTCACCATTCCTTACATAGAAATGGAGGATGGAAATACTTTCGATCATGTCACAGGATAGACAAGGGGTTTTGTCATGGTGAAAGTTCCTCCATCGTTAAATTGTCATCCATGCAGATCCCTGGTCACTTTTACGGTTTATGAGTTATGCCCCTTTATAAACATAAAAATTGCTGAAATTTTCGTTTACGTTTACTAACTTTAGTTTGCCTCAACCAAATGTTATGAAATTTATACACAATGCCTATTACAACAAAACACAGATCAAGTTGAAATTAAGTGGCGTCACTTTTACCGTTCTTGAGTTATGCCCTTTATAAATGGAAAAATTACAAAATCTGTCGTTTCTGTTCTCTCACTTAAGTTTCTCTCACTCAATCAAATGTTATAAAAGTTATACACGATGCTTATTACCACAAAACACAGATCAAGTTTGAAATTGGGTGGCGTCACTTTTACAATTAGTACATTGACTCATGCATATTTACAAGCGGGGCTGTGGCCCATAGACACATTCTCCATTTATTTTATTTTATTACCTGTAATATTTTTTTTGATATAACTGATACTAGTAATAGTTTCACTGTTTTAATTTGGCATGAAATCATTTTGCATGTTATGATTAAGTGTCTAATCTGTTGAAGACACTTGCACACATGCATATTTAACATAGTAAATAAAGCACAAGTTTGTCTTCCGATTTTACATATTGCCAATAAAAATTCCAACAGAGCCAAAGTGAAGGATCTGATTTTAATCAGATTTGCTAAGTACACACTGTAGCTGAAATATTCTGTAATATTCTACAATTATTAGTGAAATAATATTTACACTAAGAGGGAAATAAATCAAATGTCAGAGTTGGTTATTTTTTTTGTTTTCAGTCATGAAGGTAGATCATGGTATACACCTATTCGTGGACGGTTGTGGATTGCTGCAACAGCCAAATCACCTTCTCCACAGGAAACTGTGGATGTTGAACAACAGTACAGATATTTACTTAATGGTAGAAATTAATTTAAATCAGGAGAAAATTTTTAATGTTAAATGTGGGACTCATTTAAAGAAGTAACACTGGGTTGTCATGAGTTGGGCAGGAAATGCTTATTATTTCATAGCACCTGACATTATCTACAGGGGTTCATGTTGCACACCATTCAGATATGTACACTGTTTATCCTCTCACCTTTTTCTTTCGGCTACGATGCTGTCTGTTTTTATCTTACTATTTTTAATGCCCCATAATATCTTTTTGTTTTTAAGATAAAAGAACAATGTAGACACGTCTGATATTTTAGTCTGTCTGGAAAGGTTGTTTGTATATGGGAAAATTGAAAAGTTACTGTTGAATTGATAACAAAAAAGCTTTAACAATATCCAATCAAGAACAATACTCTACAAAATGTTTCAATGAATAGAAATGAATAATTCCTTTAAAAGAATTGAAAACACATACAACCACAGTTTTCATCATTCATATAGGGGTTACTGTTATTAAATTTAGGGTGCACTTAGAACCCTATCTACATAATTGTAAAATGTCAATGTTTTTAGTCCCCTATGGATGAAGTCGAAGGGACTGTAGGTTTGCACTCAGTCAGTCTGTCTGTCTGTCTGTCTGTCTGTCTGTCTGTCTGTCTGTCTGTCTGTCTGTCTGTTCTACAAATCAGTTTTCCACACTTTTTTTCTTCGTGCTTGAAGATATTGACTTGATATTTGGTGTATTGTTTAATCATGACAAGTTACAGATCTGGTCTGATGATTTTGTGCAGAGTTATGGTCCTTTGACTTAGAAAATTTACTCAAATAATCAGTTTTTCGCACTTTTTTTTGTCATGCTTGAAGATATTGATTTGATAATTAGTATATAGTTTTATCATGACAAGTTACAGATCAAGTTTGAATTTTGTTCCGGTCTGATGATTTTGTGCAGAGTTATGGTCCTTGGACTTAGAAAATTCAATTAAATTATCATTTTCCACACTTTTTTTCGTCATGCTTGAAGATATTGACTTAATATTTGTTATATAGTTTACACCGAGACAAGTTATAGATCAAGTTAGCATTTTGTTCCAGTACAATATATTTTTAACCGGTAGGGGACTATGTATTGCCATGCAATACTCTCAGATTGCTTGTTAATTTTAATCTTGTACAAAAATTTTGAATTGCAATTGAAGCAAAAGAAATTTATATTTTTTGTTAATTTGTTGTTATGACTATATATTCATTCTTAACCCTGTATTGTTTCTTCTTGTTGTTTAACCTGCAATGAATGTTGTTCCCTTTTCAGTAATGTTGACAATGTTAATGTTAACTACTTAAGTTGAATGTTTCTACTATGTCTATTTCGGAGAAATATTTCTGAACACCTATACATCTCAACTAAGAGAGTATATGGGCCCTTCATTCTCAGTCATGATCTATGGACTTTGAATATTTTTTTTTTTCTTTCTCATGTAATGTTGAGTTTTCTGATAAGATGTATTTATGAAGAAGCATGTATGATAAGCTTTAAAGTGTACTTAGGCATTAGTATATACCAGTATACATTTCGATTTCAAGCTGAATTAGAGCCACCTGAGACATGTTTTAGACTTGAGATATTTTTACTGTTTTTGTAACATTAAGTTCTCTGTCAGACTGGATGCTTTTTGTGATAGTATTTAGGAAAGGCTATTGTTATATAGTATGCTTTTGTATAGGCATCTATGCATTGTAGTTTCAAACAATATAAGGATTTCTTTGCAACTTTACTTTCAAATGGAGGAAATTAAACCCAGTCAGAAGTTAAAACATAAACTCATCATATACGTTTTTTCATGAACAAATCACTGGCAAAAGCCTACCCGAAAGTCTCCAATGCACAGTATGACAGTGCATCTAATTTATACTTTTCATTTTGATTTTGATATATGTGTTTGTATTAACAATTATATTTATTTTCATTTAGACCAGAAGTTATCATTCCCTACACATTACCCAGTAGCCTGTTTGTTAGGTTGTGTTGATCTAGTCGATTGTTTACCACAAGATGAATATAGAAAAAAGGTAGATAAATATTAACAAGATTAAATGAAGCAACGTGCAAATTTTATACTTTGTACTAATTTAAAACATAAGTACGAAAAAATGTAGTAAACAATGTTAAAATTGTATCCATTAGATGGAACAACTGAGTGGCATTGTTTTTGTGTTGAATAATTTTGCTGTTCTTCATCTCGTAGTCACAGTTAGGCTTTCAACACAGAGCAAAAAATTTAGAATCTAACTTAATCTATTGATTTGAAATACTGTGGATTCATTTATAATTTGTAAATACCAATATTCGTGGATAGAGAAATATTTGTATTTCAGTGGATACTTGATTTGGTGATTTCAACCAAATTTTACGTACTGTAATCTTGAAATAATTGTGTAGGAGTTATTTTCAATTATTTGGTGATAATGTCAAATACACCAAAACATCCCCTGAGCGAATAGTATGTAGAAAGCAACAATATTGGCATAAAAGATGAACTTACCATTTAATGAGGGAGTTTGACCTTAGTATGAAAAGACTAAATGTAAAAAATAATGAGCATAGAACTTTTTTCTCCATACAGCTGTTGCTGTAAAAGGTCACTCTTATCCAACAATTTCTCATATAATACGTCTGCTACAACCTCATCCTGACATGTATGTGTAGCATATTTATATAAACATTATAGTATTTTTGTATTGCCTGCGATGAAAATCGCAGAAAGCGAGACATAGGGATTGCTTTTCCGTTGATGTTAAGTTTTCTGCTTATGTTAGTTTGATAGAAACAACTTGTGATAGATCATTGATATTTAGTATGAAGATGCATTACTATCAGTACATATCAGTTTGACGACTATTTTGAGGCCCTGCCCCATAGTCCATGGTTCAGTGACAATGAATTAATTAGCAATTTTAAATGTTAAGTTTTCTGCTTAAGTTAGATAGATAGGAACTACTGGTGATAAATCAATGATATTTTGTGTGAAGTTGCATTGCTATCAGTACATATCAGTTTGATGTCTATTTTGAGGCCCTGCCTCCTATGCCATGGTTCAGTGACTTTCTATAAATTAGCAATTTTCAATGATAAGTTTCCTACTTAAGTTAGTTTGATATGAACTACTTGCAATAGATCAGTGATATTTTCTATAAAGTTGCATTACTATCAGTACCTAGGTCATGGTCCAGTGACTTTCAATCAATTAACAATTTTCAATGTTAAGTTTTCTGATTAAGTTAGTTTGATAGGAACTACTTACAATAGACAATATTTTTTATAAAGTTACATTGCTGTCTGTACATCTCAGTTTGTCAACCATAAGTCCATTTCGAGACCCTACCCACTAGTTGTCCAGTGACTTTGAATTAATTAGCAATGTTACTTTCCATCAGATTGTTTTTTTCTGAATTTTATGCTGACAGGCGAGACATATCTCTGTGTCAACAGTTTATTTTTAATTGACCCAAGTACATCATAGTCATTACTTTCATAACTAAGTTTTTTGTTTCAGTTTCCAGATGGGGAGTCAATATCACCTTATGTGTTTATATGTGAAAACCCACAAGAATTAGTTGTCAAATTTCCAGTTAAAGGGAAACATAAGATATGTAAGTTTTAATTGGTATACAATATATTCTATGTTTGTGGAGTTGAGTTTAATATCTGTGTATTCTATATAATAAATTTTATTTTATTATTGTGTCACATACTGATTGAACATTATACAATGACATAATAAAAATATACATTAAAACAATCAGTACCCAGCCATTAGATTATATATGCCTTTATATGAGTCCAGGGAGGTTAAAGTTCGACATGTAAACCTCATGATCATTGATCAACCTTTACAAGAAAGATAATACAGGAACAGGTCAACATGAACATGTTAGTGAATAAACATTGTATCTGTGACATGTCAGGTTTAAAAACAGCACATAATCCTGTGTCATACATAGTGTATATTGTTGAAAATGTAAAACTTAAAAATGAAAACTGACTGATTCCTACCACAAAAAAAGTAATATCTTCAAAAAGTCTAAATCTACATTTCTAATTGTCTTTTTAGTGTTAAAATGTCTCACTTTTTATGACAAATAATCTAAATTTCATAAATGTATGTGCAAAAAGAAATACAAATCAGTGACAGATTATTCCTCAATTATTGATAAAAACAACATGATTGATTTTTGGACAGCTTTTTTGGTCAAACACACCTGCAGCATGCGGGGTACGAACTGGCAACCTCAGTGTTAAGAGGCTAGTGGTACAGAAGATTTATTACTTAGACCACTGGGCCACTGAGACTCCTAAAAAAAAATCCAAAAGAAAATATGAAATAAAGTATCCTATCCCCATTGTATTTGACTTGGGTATATAACTCCACATTCAATAAAACACTTGGAAATCATATGAACGGTTTATGAATTTGATCTTCACAATTTAATATAAGTAAATAAGGAATCAGGTGATTACTTCATGTTCATTTGTAGTTCTTTTGAGGCAGTCTTTATGTTCATGGCCAAAAATTATCAAACTGAATACGGGTAATGTTTAACACTTGCAAATAGAAGCAGGAAATCAGGGTGAAAAACATTAATATGTACAAATAGATCTTTGATATTGACAAAAATAGTTTGTATTTAATGGTCACCTTTTCAACAGTTAGAGAACAATTTGTTTTGTTATATATTTTAGTTTTTATACGACCGCAAAAAAATTTTGTGGTCGTATATTGGTATGACGTCGTCGTCGTCGTCGTCCATAGACACATTGGTTTTCGCACTCTAACTTTAGTTTAAGTGAATGGATCGCTATGAAATTTTACCATAAGGTTCAATACCACAAAAGGAAGCTTGGGATTGATTTTGGGGGTTATGGTACCAACAGTTAAGGAATTAGGGGCCAAAAAGGGGCCAAAAATAAGCATTTTTGTAACTTCCAAACATAACTTGTGTGTTAGTGTATGGATCTCTCTGACATTGTACCACAAGGTGTCCATATCACAAAGGGAATGCTGGGATTGATTTTGGGGGTAATTGCCTCAAAATTTTAGGAATTAGGGGCTAAAAAAGGGGCAAAAAAAAGCATTTTTCTAGTTTCATGACAATAACTTGTGTGTAAGTCTATGGATCTTTCTAAAATTGTACTTCAAGGTTCCATATCACAAAGGGAAAGCTGGAATTGAGTTTGGGGGTAATTGCCCAAAACGTTTAGGAATAAGGGGCCAAAAATAAGCATTTTTCTAGTTTCCAGACAATAACTTGTGTTCAAGTGTATGGATCTCTCTGAAATTGTACTGCAAGGTTCCATATCACAAAGGGAATGTTTGGATTGATTTTGTGGGTAATTGCCTCAAAATTTTAGGAACTAGGGGCAAAAAAAGGGGCAAAAAACAAGCATTTTTCTAGTTTCATGACAATAACTTGTGTATAAGTCTATGGATCTTTCTGAAATTGTACTACAAGGTTCCATATCACAAAGGGAAAGCTGGAATTGAGTTTGGGGGTAATTGCCAAGAACGTTTAAGAATAAGGGGCCAAAAATAAGCATTTTTCTAGTTTCCAGACAATAACTTGTGTTCAAGTGTATGGATCTCTCTGAAATTATACTGCAAGGTTCCATACCACAAAGGGAAGACTGGGATTGATTTTGGGGGTAATTGTCTCAAAATTTTAGGAATTAGGGGCCAAAAAGGGGCAAAAAACAAGCATTTTTCTAGTTTCAGGACAATAACTTGTGTGTAAGTGAATGGATCTTTATGAAATTGTACTACAAGGTTCCATATCACAAAGGGAAAGCTGGGTTTGAGTTTGGGGGTAATTGCCCTATATGTTTAGGAATATGGGGCCAAAAAGGGGCCAAAAAACAAGCATTTTTCTAGTTTCCAGACAATAACTTGTGTTCAAGTGTTCCATACATTCCATACAATTTCTCTATGAAATTGTACTGCAAGGTACCATACCACAAAGGGAAGGCTGGGATTGAGTTTGGGGGTGATGAATTATAAGGGGTTCAAAAAATTTGGGGGGGGGGATTTTTTTTTTCCTTTTTTTTTTTTTTAAATTTTCCATTTTAAATTGGTTATTTCTGATTTATATATAAAAGCAAATAATAATGATATGGTTTGAATAGGTAAATTAAAAATTTTTAAGTTCTTAGACCACATTTATTCTGTGTCAGAAACCTATGCTGTGTCAAATATTTAATCACAATCCAAATTCAGTGCTGTATCAAGCTTGAATGTTGTGTCCATACTTGCCCAAACTGTTCAGGGTTCGACCTCTGCGGTTGTATCAAGCTGCTGCAAGCGGAGCATTTCATTTTAGTTTATACAGTGTGAATAAAAAATAAGATCTGTGAAAATTTGAATATCAAACTATACCAAGATTTTACAAATCCTTCTTCATTTTATTTTTTGCAGATAAGTTAGATGGACATATACACCAAGCTGCCAAAAAAGGATTAAGAAGTTCAAGTGATTAAAATCTGTGATATACAACATGATAATTGTTTTATGTTATTACATGTCTTTGCATACCAGTATATACATTTTAATTTTTTCTCAGCATCAATGCATCAGATTAAACTGCAAGACCTACCTAGAAAAAAAAGCAACATTGTAATGACCAACAAGATTACCTGCCATCTTTTCAAAATCTGCATGGGGAATTCAATCACAAGAGAACCAAATGCATCTCTTAACAACATATCATTTAAGTGCTTTTAATCTAATATACTAAGGTTTTGAATGAGTTACCATATTGTTTTGCCTGTTTTGTCATGAATATGAGCTAAAATATAGAATGCCTTTTTTGAGGTATTAGTCTATATAATTTATGATTTCAAGTGTCAGGCCAATAACTCTTCATCGGGGAAATCCTTAATGAATGGCAAAAGTTGGTAGGTCGGATCATGGAAGTATTATATCGACAGGAATAACAACAACGCCAGTTCAAAGGTTTCATCTGCGTTACCGCCTATCTTCCGATTACTTGTTAATTAGTTTATTATATGGAATGATAATTGATTCTCGGCATGTGATCAATCAAATCACTGACAATTTTCGGTCATTTTCGTGTTCACGGAAATTACGAACAGACGGTTGTTGTCGTATATAAAGTAAACCGAATAGTTCACTTGTTACATTCCGCTGCTGTACGCTGCCGAATAGAGTCATTCATTCAATGTTGATTTTAGTCTATTTTTCCTATTTATGTCTTTTTCGATCTTGATAGTTTAAGCCGACAGTTGTCACATATGAAATTGGTGAAAAAGGGTGGATCATGTTCAATTTTAATATCTAAAGATAGTTAAGAACCATTTCTGAAAGTTAAGAAGATGATTGTACAAAAAATATGTTTCGACCTGTTCTTAAATACGAATAATCAAAGTCTTTCGTATGTACCAGTCAATTAAAATATTCACAATTTTAAACCTATTATTTAATTTGTACATAAACTAATTCATATAGAATAATACATTTGCGGTTAAAAATGCTCATTTTGTTTGGTTGTTTTTCTTTTTGCTGTAATGTATTGTATTAATACTAGTATTCAATTGTTAACACTTTTTAAAATAGATATAAATTTAACATGTTTTACGAACTTATTATCCCGATTTTAATTGTCCAGTTTCAATAATGTAATCAATGACATTTATTGCAAATACATAAACCTAAAATACTTAAAAGTAAATAACCTTTTTATAAATCTCGATAAACTTGGCACATTTCAACAGTAAAATATTCTATGTCTACATTTGTCTACATTATTTTGTTAAACATTATGTAAAACCTGATCTCTTCATCGTTATTACCTGTTTTACTCGTGTTCTGCTTTCAATCTAAAAATACTTTTAGAACAGTTTAAAACAAACAGTAAAAAGCAAAAATATGCAAAAATAAATACAATTTTCCATGTTAAACTGTTGTAGTTTAAACAATTCTCATCCGTTTTTCAAGTTTGTTACATCATTCGATTTCTTTCTGAAGGTAGAAGTTTTATATGATACAGCGCCACCTTTGATTTCTTTCTGAAGATAGAAGTTTTATATGATACAGCGCCACCCTGTAATTAATAAACTAGGGATTTTCCACAGGTGCTTATAATTACCGGACTCGATAAAATCATGTGACTGACAAGAAATTCTAGATGCGAATTACAACTGCGGTATCACAGATAGTAACCAAAGGGGTCTTGTCGCTGAGACAATAATTGGATAAAATCATATGACTTTAGTACAGAGCTCTGCAGGTCATTAATACATGCTAATTTATCGTTGTTATTCCTTCTCATAATACTTCCATGGTCTGATGGAGAATTAATGATATCATTCACATTATCATTATTTTCATTACTAGGTGTAAAACATTGTTATTGAATTATTAGATATAACAATTAAATATCATTTATATATTTATTCTTTATATTTAAAAGCACATGAAAAAGATGTTTCAAAATAGCTCTGTACTGGTAAAAATGTGATTTAAGTCCTTTATGGAGACCAGTGTTGCCAGCTTTTCTGATTTAATTCATAAAATTACCAAATTATACATTTATCATAAATGTATATCAGCACAGCCTAAGATTGTTGTGACAATCAGCTTAACATTTAATTTCAGAATATATCAATATTTTGTATATACAGTGAGTTAGATTCGTCTTTTTTCCCTGGAACTATACTTCTGCAAGTTTTTTAAAAGTTACTTGAAAAATTTCATTAATTAGCACTTTTAATATTGTAAAATAATGTTAACATTGCTTACATTTCAAAACAGAAGCAATGACCCAATATTTAATTACATCACCTCGCTTAAAGGACTGGTTCACTTTTGATTCCATGGCTATTATCTGCCCCCCACTCTTAAATAAAGAAAAACACCAAGCATAAAAGAACTAAAAGTTCACAGGAAAGATCCTTTATGGAATATGACAGATACTTTTTATGCCCCCGCCGTAGTGGTGGGGGCATTAAGTTTTACCCTTGTCCGTCTGTAAGTACGTAATCCGTACGTACGTCCCAAAATTGGTTTCCGTTTAATAACTTGAGTGTGCCTCAACCAAATGTTATGAAACTTATACACAATGCTTATTACCACAAAACACAGATCAAGTTTGAATTTTGGTGGCGTCATTTTAACCGTTCTAGAGTTATGCCCCTTTATAAATGAAAAAAATTGCAAAGTTTTAAGTTTCCGTTCTCTAACTTAAGTTTGCCTCAACCAAATGTTATGAAATTTGTACACAATGCTTATAACCACAAACACAGATCAAGTTTGAATTTTGGTAGCGTCGCTTTAACCGTTCTAGGGATATGCCTCTTTATAAATGGAAAAATTGCAAAATTTTTAGTTTCCGTTCTCTAACTTAAGTTTGCCTCAACCAAATGTTATGAAACTTATACACAATGCTTATTACCACAAAACACAGATCAAGTTTGAATTTTGGTGGCGTCCCTTTAACCGTTCTAGAGTTATGCCCCTTTATAAATGGAAAAATTGCTAAATTTTTATTTTCTTCTAAATATCAAGTAATTTTTAAAATTGAAGTTATCTTCCTTTGTCCATGATTATAGTTGAATCAACTACAATCAGTGCTTTATACAATGCAATGTTTAATTTTGACTTCCACTGATAAAACACAGATCAAGTTGAATTTGGGTAGTGTCACTTTAACCATTATTGAGTTATGCCCCTTTCTAAATCGAAAGATTGCAAAATTTTTAGTTTCCATTCTGTAACTTAAGTTTGCCCCAACCAAACATTATGAAACCAATACACAATATTCATTACCACTAAACTAAGATCAAGTACAAATTTTTTGTTTCCGTTTTTTAACTTTAGTTTGCCTCAACCAAATGTTATGAAACTTATACACAATGCTTATTACTACATAATAAAGATCAAGTTTGAAATTTGGTGGCGTCATTTTAACCGTTCTAGAGTTATGCCCCTTTATAAATGGAAAAATTGCAAAGTTTTTAATTTCCGTTCTCTAACACTTAAGTTTGCCTCAACCAAATGTTATGAAATTTGTACACAATGCTTAAAACCACAAAACACAGATCAAGTTTGAATTTTGGTAGCATCACTTTAACCGTTCTAGAGTTATGCCTCTTTATAAATGGAAAAATTGCAAAATTTATTGTTTCCGTTCTCTAACTTTAGTTTGCCTCAACCAAATGTTATGAAACTTATACACAATGCTTATTACTACATAATACAGATTAAGTACGAAATTTGGTGCCGACACTTTTATAATTCTTGAGTTATGTCCCTTTATAAACATAAAAATTGCTGAATTTTTTAGTTTGTCTCAACCAAATGTTATAAAACTTATACACAATCGTTCTAGAGTTATGCGTGTTTACAAATAGAAAAATTGCTAAATTTTTAGTTTCTGTTCTCTACTTAAGTTAGCCTCAACCAAATGTAATGAGACTTACACACAATGCTTATTACCACAAAACTCAGATCAAGTTCAAATTTGGGTACCGTCACTTTTACCATTCTTCAGTTATGTCCCTTTATAACTATATGATATGCAAGCGGGGGCATCATCTGTGGAGACATGTGGACACTATCCACATTTATTTACACCAATATAAAACCTTTATAAAACTGGTGATTTGATACGTTTTAGTCACTAAAATTCATGAAGAACGAAAAGGCCTGTTTCCTCCAAAAACTTGAATGAGGATTATGTAATATGTTTTATGATTGTCCAAAATTCAGAATCAGAAACATATTTTTTAAGTCCTTTGATACATTATTTTCTTTTGGGAGTTGGGACCATTGTGTTAAGGTAGGATGGGGGTTGTGTCATAGTAAATATTTTTGAGAGGATAAAGGAAAAGAGGATCATACAAGTAAAACTTATGTTATAGATATCCTATCAACTTCTTACATGTTCAAAACCAGATAGATGAATACAGGTAACTATTGGGTTTCTGGATAAGTCTCAGTGAGTTCATTGGTCCTTATTATTTGTCGAGAGACACACTATTTATTCACCATAACTCAAGTAATATTCATGATTCCTCAAATATCAGAATAAAAAATTAGGTGAATGCAAATTTAAGAATTTTAGTGGATAAATTCACAATGACCTTCAAAATTTTAATTATATACATATAGAATAATACATGGCAAAATCTGTATCGCATGCTGTATCACCACGAGAAACCAATATCAGTCTTGAGGGCCGAAGGTCTTATTTGCTTAATATCCACATCGTAATGTCCCCTACAACCTTATTACATGCTCAATAAGGTATGAAACTGGCAAATAGAATCATGTGCAAAACAGTGTAGCCGAGACCATTGATTGGCGCGCTAAAATATCCCATTGACTGGGTCAGATTAGGTGAACGTTCGTCTGTAACGCCCACAACTCACGACGTATTTATTATAGACATTTAAACTGTGGGGTCACCAAAGGGTCTCAGCGCCTAAATAAAATAATTCGAAAAACTAATCAGGAATAACCTTTGTGTTTTGATTTATATTGAATACTTAAACGTTCTTTACTTGTGTTTTCGTTATGTTTTGATAATCAATTTTTATGATATCGCACGTTCTTTCAGCAAAAAAAAAGGATTTAACTGGCTTTAAAAGTTACAATGCATGTGTTGATTATTATCTTTTTTTTTCGGACGTCAAAGCGATTTAACAATTGCGGTTGTCCAATTATGTCATCTTTTAACTTTTATCTGGTCAAAATTTTATTTTAGAACGAATGCATGATCAACTTTTAAAAGTGTGCAAACACAAAACATATAGACAAAATATACTTCTTTCTTGTCTTTTTCGTACTTGCAAGTTATTAGACAGTAAAAAGGCTATTTGGATCAAGCCTTGTGAAATTTGCATTTACGTTTTTGAATAGGTAAAATGTATAGTTTGGTGAACTTTTCTGCTAACTAATATACTTGTGAAAAATCCTTGGCAACAGAAACATATTCAGCTTTTTTTTTAATCGACCCAATTTAAATAGTAATGGACGACTTCGTACATTTTATGATCACAAATAAAATATGTATATAATATACTGTGCACTGTAGTTCGTATATATACTGAGACCCTTTGGCAACCCCACAGTTTAAATGTTTATAATAAATACGTGGTGAGTTGTGGGCGTTACAGACGAACGTTCACCTAATCTGACCCAGTCAATGGGATATTTTAGCGCGCCAATCAATGGTCTCGGCTACACTGTTTTGCACATGATTCTAATATACTTTAAGATCATGTATTTAAAAGCATGCACTAACGATACTGTAAACTGTTCCTTCCCGTAGAATACAACCTACCTTCCCAATATTTGTTATTAAGTTTAATCATTATACTACAATCAGAATCTGAGCTCATTTGTAATCATAAATATGGACAACAATATTACCAAGCATCATCTATTCAAAGATTATTAACAGACCGGCAAACAGGGGATTCCTATATACACAGTCATTGGACAAAAATGAGTTCCCACTGAAAGACCTATTGTATCTATTTTATAAAAATCGGTCATAAAGTTACTGGGTAATATTTTTTTTGAAAAAATATCGATTTTAGTTGAAATGATAGGACATTTCTTGAGTGGGAACTCACTTTTTAGCTCACCTGGCCCGAAGGGCCAAGTGAGCTTTACTCATCACTTGGCGTCCGTCGTCCGTCGTCGTCGTCGTCGTCGTCGTCCGTCGTCGTTAGCTTTTTACAAAAATCTTCTCTGAAACCACTGGGCAAAATTTATCCAAACTTGGCCACAATCATCATTAGGGTATCTAGTTTAAAAAATGTGTCTGATGACCCCCACCAACCAACTAAGATGGCGGCCATGGCTAAAAATAGAACATAGGGGTAAAATGTAGATTTTGGCTTATATTTCTGAAACCAAAGCATTTAGAGTAAATATGACATAGGGTAAAACTGATTATCAGGTCAAGATCTATATGCCCTGAAATTTTCAGACAAATCTGACAACCTGTTGTTGGGTTGCTGCCCCTGAATTGGTAATTTTAAGGAAATTTTGCAGTTTTTATACGACCGCAAAAATTGAAAATTTTTTGGTCGTATATTGGTATGACGTTGGCGTCGTCGTCGTCGTCGTCGTCGTCGTCGTCGTCGTCGTCTGGCGTCGTCCGGCGTCGTCCGAAGACACATTGGTTTTCGCACTCTAACTTTAGTTTAAGTGAATGGATCTCCATGAAATTTTACCATAAGGTTCAATACCACGAAAGGAAGGTGGGGATTGATTTTGGGGGTTATGGTACCAACAGTTAAGGAATAAGGGGCCAAAAAGGGGCCAAAAATAAGCATTTTTGTAACTTCCAGACAATAACTTGTGTGTAAGTGTATGGATCTCTCTGACATTGTACCACAAGGTTCCATATCACAAAGGGAAGGCTGTAATTGATTTTGGGGGTAATTGCCTCAAAATTTTAGGAATTAGGGGCCAAAAAAGGGGCAAAAAACAAGCATTTTTCTAGTTTCATGACAATAACTTGTGTGTAAGTGTTTGGATATTTCTGAAATTGTACTACAAGGTTCCATATCACAAAGGGAAAGTTGGAATTGAGTTTGGGGGTAATTGCCCGAAACGTTTAGGAATTGGGGGCCAAAAAGGGGCCAAAAATAAGCATTTTTCTAGTTTCCAGACAATAACTTGTGTTCAAGTGTATGGATCTCTCTGAAATTGCACTGCAAGGTACCATACCACAAAGGGAAGGCTGGGATTGAGTTTGGGGGTGATGAATCATAAGGGGGTTCAAAAAATTTGGGGGGGGGGATTTTTTTTTTTCTTTTTTTGTCTTTTTTTCCTTTTTTTTTTCTTTTAAAATTTTCCATTTTAAGTTGGTTATTTCTGATTAATATTTAAAAGCAAATAATAATGATATGGTAGGAGATACACACCAAACAGGATGTGTAAATTATTATATAATAAGTATTGTGCAATAGCAAGAAATTTTCAATTGCACAGTATTGCACAATTGCAAGAAATCTTCAATTGCACAGTATTGCGCAATAGCAAGAAATCTTCAATTGCACAGTATTGCGCAATAGCAAGAAATATCCAATAGCACAATATTGCGCAATAGCAAGAAATTGTCAATTGTACAGTATTGCACAATAGCAAGAAATATTCAATTGCACAGTATTGTGCAAAAGAAGATACTTCGTATAAATTGCTTATTTCTTGATCAATTTCAATGGGGTTTTATTCTTGAATTCTTGGGGTTCTTTAATATGCTGAATCTAACCGTGTATTAAGTTTTTGGATTTTGGGCCCCGTTTTTAAATTGGTCCACATTGAGGTCCAAAGGGTCCAAAATTTAACTTTGTTTGATTTCATCAAAAATTGAATTATTGGGGTTCTTTGATATGCCGAATCTAACCGTGTATTTAGATTCTTAATTTTTGG